AGATGAGATGAGATGAGATGAGATGAGATGAGATGAGTTGAGATGAGAAGAGTTGAGATGAGATGAGATGGTATGAGATTAATTAGACGAGGTAAGATGTGATGAGTTGAGCTGAGTTGAGTGGAGATGAGTTTATATGAGATGAGATTAGATGAGATTCTACCACGTTTGAATAAAGAAGATGCTTTGGTTTAAATTTTATTTCACCCTGCCTTGCGTCTTAATAGACTGCTTTTTTAACACCGGACTATACTTTCGAGCCTGCCTTATATTGCTTTCCTCACCACTAGCCAAATACGAACGGTTTATTCCAAATCAAATCTCCTACAAACTTCATTAGCAATAGTGAGCAATTTTACGATCAAACATAGAATAAACAATTTGTTCGTTTATTGGTAGTTTTTTGAGGCTACTATTATATCAGATATGTGAAATGCATTCACTATATTTCGTTTAAGGTTTCCCAAGGACACTCATTGAAATCCGGCGTAGGGTTTGAGCTATCGAGATCGTACGCTGCGCTGTCCTGTTTCGAGTCCCACTGAGGGTTCTGATGAGTCCAGTTTATGCGCGATTGAAACTGAAGTTCATTCCAGTCTGGACGAGACTAGCTTTTGAGAAGCAATGGAAATGTTAGGTCTACTTATTTGATCGTGGGCAAATTCAACTACCAGTTCCTTATTACATTAAACGAAATAGTTGCAACACACCTCATATATCTGGTTAACTTTATTTATTGTATCAATTAAAGAGTCATGATCGCGTGTTCCGAGGGCTGGTATGTTTGCTTCTGAGGCCGCATGTCCACGATATGCATCCTAGTTGGGGTGTGGTTGAGATGATGAGATGAGCTCAAAATTGCAGATCAGTTTGGAGAAGAACCGCCTGATGGTTGGGATGAGAAGGTGAAATTCATTGCAAAATTCTCATATTCTCCTCATTTCATTGTGGATAAACGCACCATGCACCCCGGATGAGAACAACTTTTTGGAAATCAAAGCTATGTGAAATTCAATGAAAGCGTCAGCTCAACTCATATCATTGTGGGAAAATTCTTCTTCTACCAGTCCTTCATCACCTTAAAAGAAATTGTGTGGATACATATATTACTGATTTACTGGTAGTCACGACAACATTACTTAATTCAAAAATACCTATTTGAAGTTGTTTGACCTTGTTTTCGCAACTTGGTCATATTGGCAGGAAGACTTGTAGGAACACACCACGTCTGGAGTCCATTGTATGCATGATCATTTCCAGAGTAGGATCGTGGACGTGGTACATTCCTACACATTTCGCCGGCATTATCAGTGAGTTTTGCTATTCTTGGCCCCATACTACAACTTGTCATATAATTGTGAGAAAATTGAACTATCAGTGCTTCATAGGCTGAATACATCTCATATAAGTTTAACCTAAAACCCACATAAAAGAAGGCCCGAAAAAATGAAAAATGGATAATCTGCATGCAAAGATATTACTCTCTCTCTCTCTCTCTTTCTCTTAGCCAGATTGGACTTTTGGTTTGAGTGCCCTCCTTATCATTATTTAAGAAGTCTTTTAGCATAATTTAACCTAAAATATGTTTATACCTTTTGGGCGTTTTCTCGTATTTTCTAGCTGGCTCCTTATGTGGCCAGAAGCCAGACATCTGCGGGCCAAACGGCACTTGCATCAATTTATTCGATGTAGAGAACGGAGTCCAAAGATACTGGTGCCTTTGTAAACCCGACTGGGTCGGCATCCACTGCGACAGTAAGTGAATGAATGGGTTTTGATGATGATTATTTGGTGTAGCTTCTTTTGTTGAAACTCGTTAATTATTTGGGTTACGACGCTTCAACATTGACTCAAGTTTCGGGTGTAGAGGCTATATTCTTGAATGGGGATAGTCTAACATCAGAAAAGCTTTTGCATCCAGCTTGGAGCTTCAGGCAGACAATCAAATCGTCAAGCCTATTCTTCCCTTCCAAATGTTGTGCGATGGCACACGGAAATTCCGCATTAGCCAACTGTAAAGAGTATCAAAAATCACGTTTGGCCCAGCATCAAGTCACTTTGGGAGGTAGGCTGCTACCATTTGGAGTAGGCAAGACGGATTATCGGCGATGCTGCCCAATTGGGCTGTCCAAAACAGCACAGACCGCAGCCTCAATTCGGTCAGGGGCTCAACGAGCGTCAAAACCAGAATGTACGACAAAGGAGAATTGGCCACTCGAGCACCCGACTTGGATGCCTCTAAGTTCTCAGGATTTATAGGCATAAATATACATGGAATGGTCGCTAAGCAACTGCATAAGTTAGAAATAATTCAATAGGAGCTGAGTTTACCCTATTTCGTTTGAGATGATGAACTTTCCCGCAATCAGTTGAGTAGGCTTCGTGTTTTCGATGAATTTCACAAAAGTTATTCTCCTCCAGACATGCGTGAATTGCAGTATCGCACTCGCCTAAACTGGTCTAATCAGCAGTCCCAGCGGGACTCGAACCCGAGTATTGGCAGTGTAGCACATAGTCACGATTGACCTTGTGTAACAGGGCAAATTGTGATTTCAAGCAATGCCAAGCATTCTTTCTTGTCACATGCCATGGTGGGATCTTCGATGAAGCTAACTGGTATTTGCTTTAGCAATCGACTGTATTACTTATTTCGGTTTTATAAGTAGTCTTTCGAAACTACCAGTAGCTCTCGTCTATAAGCTACACTACGTGGTTCTGATTTCCGTTAGGGCGCTTATTAAACTAAAGCAAAGTATAAACTGCAGTCACCACCAGCCGTGATGAAAATACCTTTTGATGTGTAGGGCTATGCGAATGTGATGGAAACATGAGGCAACTACCAATTGTTCATCACATTGAACCGAAATAGAGTAAAAACAGTTATTGTTCAAAATCCACTGGTAGTCCTGAAAGCCTAATTAGTTAATGAAAAGAATTAGTTGTCTAACTTAGTAAAACCGAAAATAGAATTAAATCTTGCCTAGAGATAAGGAAGTATCCGTTTGCCGTTTCGCGTTAAATGTGTGTCCATGCTGTCAAGGAAACATTATATTTTGCTATAGATCCTTAGAGTGTTCTCATTTAGGGTGGAGTTAAATTGTAAACTGGTCAGAGAGATTCGGATCCCACGACTTGATAGTGCATTAAACAAATTTTCTATTGGCATACACTGCAGACTAAACTGGATATGGACTCACTTATGGGAAACGAAGCACAATGAAAGCCTTTGAGTGAGGCGAATATAGCCATTGTTTAATCTGATAACAACAACTTCAAGCGAATATTGTTTCATCATTCTTTCTATAAAATAATGTAATGGTTAAATGCAAAGAATCTCTCATTTATTCGATATTGTCAAATTCTAAAGACGGTTATTTTAATTTTAGTTTTCTTGCAGCAAGAATACAAATAGAGCGCCATGTCGAAGGAAGCAACAAATTATTCTGTCCTCTTTCATGCCAAAATCTTTTATGTTATAATACAGCTAATCTAATTGAGCTTCAATTTTTTGCCAAATGTCCACATTTTAGTCAGCGAACCGGGCTCATATGCTCTATTTGCAGACGTTTGTCTTAAAATTCCCCCCTTTTGCAAAAGGAGTAAAGCCCCCCCTGACCAATCTAAGCTTGCCCCTTATTATGAAATAAATAAATAAATAAAC